TATATATATATATATATATATATATATATATATATATATATATATATATATATATATATATATATATATATATATATATATATATATATATATATATAGATAGATAAAAACAAGATTTGTTTAAGATTGAAGAAAATAATTAATTGTTTGTAGTTATAGGAAGCTCGCAGAAGACTGGGGTCAGTCTTGTCATCGAGTACCTTCTAGACGTGTAATACATATAAAAATCAGTTGCATACGTGGTAAATATGTATGTGGTACATATATGCCTTAAAACTATTAATGTTACTATCTCCTTTTAGTATTTTTTTATTGTTTTCTTTGAAAAGTTACATTTTTAGTTTTATTAGGGTTATTTTATATTATTTTTATTTTTAAATTTTAAACTGGTGTTTAAAACAACTCCTTGTAGTTGTTTAACTTGATTATTATAGATTTTAACTTTGTTTTCAGGGACTGTTCGTTGTTTAAATTTATTAGCGATTCGTTTCTAGAAATTATTTTATTAAATAAATAGGGACCACGATGTTTTATTGAAAATTTTGAGAGTTTAGTTTTTTCAAAGGGTATCTTAAAGTTTCCCGTTGCTCTTGTATTGTATTTGTTTACGTTGTTTTCAAAAAAGTGTGTTGTAAAATGTTCTGGAACCAGACTTAGTTTATATTTAAAATGAAAAGTATATTTTGATAAATATTAATTTGAAAAATATTTAAAGTGTTCATTTGCTCCAGTAGGGGTTGAGCATACTGCCCCATGCTGTATTGGCATACATAAGATAGCTATGTATGAATGAAAAATAAACGAGTTTTAGACTTTTTTTTGTCAAGAAAAATCTTGCCTTATAAAGTAAACCTATGTTCTTTGATATTTTTGTATTTATATAGTTGATGTAGGGCTTCCAAGAGATGTGTTCATCAATTAGATCACCTAAAAACTTTGTATTTTGAGCCCTTTCGATGATTATATTTTCTATATTAGTTGTTGATAGGTTAAGGGGAAGCTTTTTAATTTGTTGAGTAGAGTGGAATAGAATATATTTAGTTTTATCTATATTGAGTGATAGTTTGTTTGATTTAAACCATATATTAATTTTTTTTAGTTCATTATTTGTTTTTTTAAATAAGTCTTCAATAGTCTTTGATGAGTAAAATAAGTTTGTATCATCGGCAAACCTTATAGTTTTGAAAATATTAGAGGCATTTGGAAGATCGTTTATGTAAATAAGAAACAAAAGAGGAGCAAGAATGGACCCTTGGGGTACACCACTTTTTTTTTTCAGTAAATTTGAGTTCCTTTTTTTTATCTATAATAACACATTGGTGTCTGTCATTAAGGTAGTTTTTAAACCAAGTTAAAGTTTTATTTTTAACGCCATAATTTTCCATTTTTGTCAGTAAAATCTTATGGTTGACGGTGTCAAACGCCTTTGACAAATCAATAAAGATTACTAACGTGAATTTTTTTTTGTTTAAATGATTTACTAATCCTATTTGAGAGATCAAGGATTGCATGCTCTGTTGCGTGTCGCTTTTGGAAGCCGTATTGACCTTTATTAATAATTTTACTAGTTTTTAAATATTTAATTAATTTATTGTAGATAATTTGCTCAAGAATTTTTGCGAATACCAAAAGGATTAAAATAGGCCTATATTTGTTTAAAGAGTTGGCTTCTCCTGATTTATAGATTAGGTATAATTTTTGAGATTTTAAGCAAATCAGGTACAATACCTGTTGTAACTGATGAGTTAAATATTTGGTAAATAGGATTACGTATTTCCTCAAAAACATCTATCACTACTTTGCCAGAGATATTATCGATTCCTGGGGACTTGATTTTAAGTAATTTCTAAAATATTTTTAAACATTGGTTAAATATTAATAATAAATAAAATAGGTTAAATACTGACAACTTAAAAAAGGAATTTAAATATTATATTAATAATTTTACCAAATAAAAATGCCAAATACTCAATTTAAAATCTGTTATTTATAAGTACAAGAAGCAGGATCATTTAGACAACCATCTTGGTTATTCTCTGTGTCATTTTTTTTTGTATCCACAAACAACTTGTTATCGCTTTTCAGATGTAAGTTGTTTTTTTTCACTCTGCAAAAGTTTAATGCTTTTTCTTCATGGTTTAACATTCTTGAAGAGTATATATACAAAGAATCTTATTCAGTTTTTCAAAAAAAATTATACTTGCTCTTCTTCCAATATTAAAAATTGAAAGAGCATCATATACACATAAATAAAACTGCGTTAATAATACATATTTTGTTTTAGGTATGCGTTGCCATATCCCATTAAAACTCATTTTGGTTTTGCATCTTACCATGTAGGATTTTTTTGAAGAGTTCTTCTTCAGATAGATCAATATTTACAGGCTTTAGACGATTGATAATTGAGATTGAATGACCAAAACATGACTTGTAAACAGATGTTAAAATAGCATTGTCCTCTTTATAACGACACTAACTACGTTTACCATTAGGGAAATAAGTATGCTAATTATTTTCAGAGAGTACAACATGGAACAATGTTGCAAGTATGGCTTTTTTTATACCTTCTAAATTACTGACATTTTCCTTAACAAATTCATAGTAGATTTGTAGGCGGTCAATTCGTTAATTTGCCTTTTCCTCCAAATCCCTTAACGGTTTTTTTTAAAGTTCTCAATCTACTACCGACTATGTTTCTGTACACGTGATGAATTCGAATTTTTAAATGCACAAGAATTATTTTCTTTATATTTTTATTTTAGACTACATGCTTTGCATGACCGACTCATTGCTCGCAACCAAGAATTTTACCTGTGTCCATTGATATTGCTTTAACAACTCTTTGTGAAGAAAATCCACGACGTAGCAAACTTCCATTAACTGATACTGCAGTGTCACAATATTTAAAGAATATTGAAAAATTTCTTTCACAGCATCAACTATTGTATCTTTTAAGAAAATTTTAGAACAATCAAAGAAAGATTGAATAACTTGTAATTATTTTTAATCATAGATTTACGAATGTTCATTAAATATGTAAACTTTTTTAACACTTAAAAACCTTGATCGAATGCATGCATAGAAAACAACAAAACAGCTTGCAATTCTGATTAAAAACCTGTTGTTATGCGTGCTACTAGGCTGATCAAATTTACCCAATTGAAAAAATTGACTTATTTCTCAAGAACAAATCTTACTTTGAGAAATTGTATTGAAAATCGAGTTGAGCGTTAAATTTCGTGTCAGAATTACAAAAAAAGATTTTTTTTGATTTTTTCATGATTTTTGAGGGGTCCTACACTTACAGAGCTGTCCTTAAACATTGCGAAAACACATTATTCACATGCTGATTTATCAGTTAACACTACTGGTAAATAATTACCTCATCCAGTTACAAAAAAAAACAGTATAAAATTTATTGAACACCGTGTTTCTTAAAACTAATAAAAAATATAATTTGATTGCAAAAAATAATGTTTGATTGTAATGAAGACTTATAAAATGGAAATATGCTTAAAAATAAGTAGCTATTCAATGAAAAGAAGATTCAGAAATAAAAATGACAAAGAGACATAAGTTAGTTAAAAAAAAATTAAGCTAGTTGCCTAGACATTCCGTCAAAAAGTTGCAAACAAAATAAAAATTTTTTTTAAGAAAGTCAGTACACTAAGGATTTTGGAGACAGCAATATCACATTTATTTTTGTTATTAAAAATTCCTTTCATATTTTATTGACATTTTGACATTTGAAATGTCAAAATTTGTTAGAAAACACTTTTAATGAATTACCTTTTATAATTTACTCAACTCATTAAAAAAGAGGGAATTAACAAAATTCTATGATTTTCTTCTCTCTAAAAGAGGATCACGCACCCCCTCTCCAACCACAGATTCTGGATTGCACACCCGTTGCTGCGCCTGGGCGTTGCAGAATGCGAAGTGCATTCTTTAACGTTTAGTTTTCTAGTATATATATATATATATATATATATATATATATATATATATATATATATATATATATATATATATATATATATATATATATATATATATATATATATATATATATATATAAAGTAAAGCTAACACCACAAAACTTTCGAAATATATTTGGGAAATGAAAAAAAAAAAAAAGGGATTTTCAAATCCTATTTTTACGTGGAAAGTTATTGATAGGGCGGAACCATTTAAACCTGGAGGAAAGTTATGTAACCTTTGCTTAACCGAAAAATACCATATCATTACGTCATCTTTGAAACTACTGAATAAACGAAATGAACTAATATCAAAATGTCGCCACGAAAACAAATTTGTTATTTGCAACTTTAACGTCATCTAAGCTAACACTGTATTGTATTTTTGTATATAATTTTTGTTGTTGTTGTTACGGTTGTTTGTAACGTCTGATGATCGCATAAAGCGTAAAACTCTGAGTTATGTTTCAAATCTAATTGAATTTATTTTTTTATTAATTTAATATATATATATATATATATATATATATATATATATATATATATATATATATATACATATACATATATATATATATATATATATATATATATATATATATATATATATATATATATATATATATATATATATATATATATACATATACATATATATATATATATATATATATATATATATATATATATATATATATATATATATATATATATATATATATTTATATATATATATATATATATATATATATATATATATATATACATATATATATATATATATATATATATATATATATATATATATATATATATATATATATATATATATATATATATATATATATATATATATATATATATATATATATATATATATATATATATATATATATATATATATATATGGGTTGGGTGGTGGAGATTCTAATGAGCTTAGGGTGGGTGAAAAGAAATTTTAAAATTAGTAAAATCCCCTCCCGTAAAAGCACTTTAAAAGTAAATAAGAAAAAACAAAAAACATTCTTGCTAAACTTTATATTTTCATTTACTATCATATTGTTTAACGTCGAAAGTGACAATTTCGTTTCTCGTGACCCTCACTTTATACTTCTAAAAAAAATAAAATGATATTCGTAATATTTGAAATAAAGCAATTTAAAACTTAAATTAAGTATATTACTCTAAATAAATTATAATCAAAAGCTGATACAGAATATATAAACAATACAAATATAGAAAATAATTAAATAGTAACATTTATAATAGATTATTATAACTATATTAAAAAGTATATAAAAAATAAAGTTCCAATAAAAACTTTTTTAAACCAGAGCTATTAATAAACATATTATTAAAAAATGAGGCACTAAATCTCATAATATATACTCTTAAGAAGCTTAAAACCTTAGCTCCAGACTCATTAAATTACAAAGAGATCTTTTACCATCCCGGTCTCGGTCCTCTCAAAATTACAAGATAAAGCAAAGTCCAACTGCATTTACAATGGGTTTCCATACGTAGTCTGATGGTGGTTACTTTCAATTTTAGGAAATATAAAAAAAATTGCAAGCTAATTTTCTGCAGTGAATAATTGAGTTTAATTGTAGTTAAAATCCTAACGCTACTGCAAAACCCAAGCTATTCCAGAAGAAAAATAACATCGGCTGTTTGTTTTAAGCCACCAAAATATAAAGACTTTTTGTCAACACAAGAGTATAAAATTAAGTCAACAGCACACAGAGCCGTTTTATATGTAATATAATCAGAAAAAGTTTCATTAAAATAAGTAGAATCAATACAGTAACAAATGTAGTGGAAATGGAGAAAATTTACTGGAAATGGAAAAGAGTTTAACATTTGAAAATAACATTAACACTGTGGTTAAAAAGGCATGATTTAATAATCTCGAAATTTTTATGTAGACAAATTAACAATATAAAGAAGATTAATTGGATAAATATTAGTCGATGGTTTTTTTGACTTAAAACCAACAAGAAGGAATAAAAGCATCCATTCCTATTTGAAGTATGTATATAGTTAGGAATTTGATGGCATTACTCTAACAAGACAAGAAAAGAAGCCACAATCTAAGACTGAAAAAGATCAAGGTCAAGCTTTTAGCTTCCCCCTTTTTTATGTTATTTCTCTAATTTTGAGCATCTACTGTAACTTAAACTAGTTATGACTAAATATATTACGCACTCTCTCTAAATTTCTTACTTCTCTCCTTTTCTTCTTAAAATTGCTAGCTCTCTATATCTGATACCAAAGTCACCCTAGTTTTTTATTAAACGTTGTTAAATATAATTTTTGCAATCTCTGTCTTAGGTTATGTAAAAGATCGAATATGTACACAAACTAAAAAATTATTGAAGTCATATACTAAAACTCTTACTAGTACCACAATAGTACAAATAATGGATAAACCAACCCAATATAGCTAAGAGTAAATAATAAATGACACCTATGTTTTAATTATTTAAAACAGTAAAGGTATTGTAAAGACAAAAAAGTATATATTCAAATTGAATTTCCTAAAACAGTTTGGACATCCTGATAAACAAAAAAAAGTTTCAAAAAATGCAGAAAAATTCAAAAGAAAACAATCCCTAGAATTTATTGGCGTAGAAATATAGAAAGATATTGGCGCCATTATTACTAAATTCAAAAACAAAAAATACTGATTTAATCTGTTATAATAATCTATGATAATTTTCAAATATATAATTAGGACAACGGCACTTACGATAGTTATAATAACAAAAACAAAAACTAATAGCAAGTTGCATATACTGTGGAAAAATCAAAAATTGATAACAAAGTGGATACACACAAAAATATTTAAAAAACTAATCTCATACTTTAAATTTCCATAAAGAAAAAAGAACGCTACATTATAGACAAATTATTTTGCGAAGTCTGTTTTGCCTTATATTATCACAAGAGATAGATCACAGAGTTTATATAACTTAAGAAAAGAATTTTATATAAGTTAAAAAGAGCATGTTATCAGGATAGTTTAAAAATAATCACAAACCGAGCAATTCAAATGATCATTGCAATATAAATCTACCATAATAAAACTTATAAACACTTCTTTTGATTTTTCAGAAAATAATAATTTTTTTAACAAATTTAAAAAGCTGTAACTATATTAATAATTAAACTTGAAAAAATATTAATTTTATTTAAATGAACATTTTGCACAATATAAAAAATATACAAAAAAAACCCTGAGTTTTATCGTTAGGCTGCAGTATACTTACACACAATAAAAGTTAGTTATGATACACTGCACAGGATTACTTTAAAAGTAAGCATAATCGAAAGTCAAATTCTCCTGTTTACTGAAATTATTTGATGATCTTTTATCATGATGAGATTAAAGAGGCGCTGTGCTTCTTTAAGGTAATATTTGAGAAATATTATGTAGGAGAATAATTTTTGTTCTAAGTATTATAATCTACAAATAAAAGTAAGTTTAAATTATTGTTTATTGTTTAGCCTCACTATGGATATTCAACTTGTAAACTATTTCTGCAATTATTTCTGTTGTATGTACAAAGAGTTGCATTTACAATTGAAGCAGATGCTCTATTTAATGCCTAAAAATAACTTTATTACCTTAAGGGGGTTAAACTCTGCTTTGAACATAAGATTTACTTTATATGAAAGAGCTAACATGATAATAGGTTTTGGTTTAAAAAATTTTTTTCATGTGAAAAAAACTCTCAAAAACATTAAATATTAGTATAATTAAAAAAGATGTGAAAAAAATATAAAAAATAAAGATTGAAACTTCAAACATAAGCATTTTAAATTGAAACAATTTAAAAAGAAAAATGTTATGATTGATAAAACTTTTTTTTTACTTGGACAAGAAGCCAAATCTTTACAAACTCGAACTTCCTTTAACAGTTGTTTGTTACAATCACCACCATAAGAAGCGCCTTTACAGGTGCGTCGTCTTTGTTGCGATGGTTTAGTTTCACCCAGTTGACAAGAACATTTTCCCCATTCCTTCCATTCACTTAAAGTACCTAAAGCAAGAGCATAGATAAATTTTTTAAAATCCATACAAGTATGGTGATTTGTAAAACTAATGTCGAAATAGAATTACACTATTTATTATTTAGACATCGAAAGATTATTAGACCAATCACATTAAAATAATTATGTATTATTCACTTCATTCATCATGATAAAAACACATTACTATTCACATGAATTAAAGAATAAAAAAAACTATTCACATGATCAAATCAAGATAAACATACACTACAGTGGCGGGTCTACAGTACTGCAGATTAGGCGTCCACCAAAGGAGAAATATTATATTATAATTAAGGTATATGTTACTTTACCTTTTTTTAAAGTCAAAATTTCATTCAAATTTTTTTCACGGTTTCGGAATTGAAACCGCAAAATGCTTGAGAGTGTTAAATATTATGGTTGGAGAAATGCATAAGGCGAAACAAATTTTGCCAAATCTAAGGCAATCTGCAAAATAAGAATTTTCGCCCTCTTTAGTTAAAACTTCGCCGGTTGGTTTTTTATGCCTTAGGCCGCCTAATCTGAGGCGATCTGATCAGGGTATTAGGAAAATTAGCCATATTTGCCTGAAATTTAGCTGATTGGGTTAAGTTTAGGCATAAAAAGTCTGGAAATTAAAAAAATTTAAACAATTTGCTTGAAATTTAGCCGATTGGAATATAGTTTACGCATAAAAAGTCTGGAGAAAAGACAATTTAGACGATTATGTTAGAGTTTTTACACTAGGTATTTTTATCTTCAAGTGTCTATTTAAGATGTCTAAGATTTTTTATAATGTACGAATTGCATTAGAGAGAAGCGATAAAGTTACATTCGAGGAAATTAACAAGAAGTATTCCCTCCAAGTTGATCCTTTATGTTTTTTGACTGAAGAAAACTTGCATTTAATAATTAATCAAGTTCATCCTAAGCGAAATATTTGCGCTAAAGCCTACTTAAATAAAAATACAAAGTTGGATAAACTAGTATCTATTCTGTAAGTTAATATTTGTTTATAACGCTTTATTTACATTAAGTTATTTAATCAGAGGTTTTCATCAGATTAGCATTAGTATCAAAATGTTCATATTTTGCTAGCAAATCACAAGTTAATCTTACAGATTAACTTGTAAAATAATGTTTCAGTGCGAACTACATATCAAATGCAAAACGTAGTTAGTGGTATTAGCTATGGATTTATTTACAAGGATTTTAAAGTTAAACAACAAGAATTAATACCCCTATTGTTTAGTCATCGACTAAATCTAGCGGTGTGCAATTCTTGCGAAGTTTAAGTTCTCTATATTGGCATTACAGAGAAGTTGAAGTTCGCAAAAACACTAAGTACACTTCGCAATTACACACTGTCTCCGAAACAGAATTTCTTTCGATAGAAAGATTAAAATATTAGAAAACCTCTTTTACATGGTTTATAGCATTACAAATGCTATTACTTTAATATTTCTATCAAAAGAAATTCTGTCTTGGAGGCAATGATTTTAGAACACTGTCCTGAAAAAAAGGAAAAAAACTTAAAGATATTTCTCAAACTAGATGGTTTAAAAGAATAGATGGTTTGGACACATTTCATGAGTTGTATATTTCAATAATTATTCCCTTGAAGCTATAAGTAATGGCATAAATAAGTTTGGGGTTAACTCCCAAAGAGCTACATCTTTTTTGAAATTGGTCACTACCTTTGAACTTATTATTTATATGGTTGTGACTGGAGCTGTTTTTGATGAAACGCATGGATGTTACATTCCAGCAGTTTAGATATTCAAACTGGTATGTATCTTAAACATTCATTGACGAATTGAATTACGGCTATTAAAAACAAAGTTGATGGTTTTCATGATAGGTGTTATCTTGATGCTAAATTTATTGTTGAACAAATTGGGGTTAGTGAATGTAGAAGAAGAACTGTTGGAAGGTGAATGATTGTTACGCAAAACAATTCAGAATAGCAATTAGCGATTGCAAAACAAGCAATTTCCTTTTGCGAATTGTACAAAAACTTATAACGAAAGTATTCCCTTGAGAGAATTCCGTACGAGGAATTCTCGCATAAAAGCGAGTGCGCTGAATTAAACTACAGTTAAATTTTCAACGCGAAACTATACAGAGTTTTATATTTAAACTAGTTGTGATAATTTAATATGAAATATTGAAATAAATATTAAATAAAAATCATAGTCGAACTCTCTTTATAATAAATATAAAGACAAAACATTACAGAAGGCAAATCCACTGCGAAAATCATCCAGCAGAGAATATATGAAAATATTATAAACGTGTTTTGACCATCCCTGTAGTTGATCACCTAGATTTAGCACTTTCTGAAAGACTTGGCAATGACAATCTAACTTTGTTCCATGGCTAAAGTATATCCGTGATAAAATGATTTCTCTGTAAAAAGGTCCATCAAAAAAAAACAATTGGAGGGAGAGCTTCAAGATTTTTTCTGATTTTTATTCTGAAGATTTGCCAAATCTATTAGCTTTAGATGCCGAGTGTAGTCTTTAGGAGGTATACTGGACTACCACTAATTATCTTATTCCAAACAATGTGTTTGATACTATAAAGTCAACTTTGTGTGTAAAAACTTTTGCCAATATTTTTGTTTGTTTTCAGATATTAGCAACTTCACCTGTGATATTGTGTTTTTGTGAAAGATCTCTTTCAAATCTTCGTATATTAAAAACCTGGTCAAGATTAACTGGAGATCGTTTGAATAATTTAGAATTGATGCATACACATAGAGATATAGTTCCAGATAATTAAGAAGTTATCAAAAAGTTAATACAAACAAATGGTAATCACAAGTTTAACCTCTAGTGAGAACTTAAACACTTCAGTGATTTAGAGTTTAAATACATTTTAAATTTTTATTAATTATTTAGGGTGTTTAAATATTCAAACATCTTTATAAATGTCCTGGTAAAATCAAATAATTATCAAATTGACACCAAAAGTGTATTGCATTCAATTGCATGAATATGAAGGGTTAAAAAATATTTTTTATTTTCTAAATATATATTTGTATTTTTGAACCTTAAAATCCAAAATAAGTGAAAACAATGATTAAAATATTTTAAAATTTTAGTGATTAAAGAGTTATGGAAAATCTCTCTGGTTAAAACAGTACAGTACAATATATTATTTATCCTAATTTTTATTTTATTAAATTAGCAGTTTTCTTTCTGAAGAGATTTTTGTTTTAGAAAAAAGTGTTATATTGTTAATATTATTATATTTTTATTATTACTAATATTGTTCAGGAAACTCTCCTGAACAATATTACTAAATAACTTGCACATTTTTATTTTTTGTTGTTCAAAATTGCAACTACGATTCCAGGCTTGTGATTTAGGTTTGTGTAAATTTTTGAGCCATTTTTAACAACCAGAATTTTTTTGATTTTTATCCTTATTTACAGAATAGTTTTTATCTTTACTCAATCACTAGAAGGACTTAATCAACATTTAAAGTTAATGCTTCCTTTCCTTACCCAACAGTATGTAATTTCAAATCATGAGATATTTTTTAAAAACTTTATAAATGTTTATAAACAAAAAACTAACGTCAATTTGTGTAAATGGGGTGAATCCATTGTGGGAGCTATGGAGAGAAGCCATAGGGGAAGCCCTCCTGGTGTTAAATAAAAACCTTTTAAAAATATAAATCCGAGTTAGTGAGGAGTTCACAAAGAGTAAATGGGGAAAAGGGGCTTATTTGGTATCTAAGAGTACCACTGTCTGAAATGGATTATTTTATAGCAATCGTAGCTCAGTGGTTAGAGCATTGGATTTGTAATCTAAGGGTTGCCAGTTCGATCCCTATTTGAAGCACATAAACGTTATCGGTAAGGTTGGAAACGGAGAGCCAATTTATAAATGCTATTCTCCTTGTGGCGGTGCTCTGCGACAAGACCATTAGGACTTCTTAGAGCACCTTAATAACAAAAAAAAACGTGATGGAGGGGGGAGTAATATAAAAAAAGATTGACAAAGTTACTTCAAAATAAATATAAGACTATATGATCATTATTCAGGCATTAAATCAATAATAAACCAGAAACATCATGTTAAAAAGCAAAATCATTTTAAAACTTAATCAAATTAAAAAAACATATGATGCAATTACTAAACAGAAAAATCAATATTTATACCTGGACAAGGAACAGCAGTATTGCAAAATTGCAGAACCGATAAGACAGCTCCACCACAATTGCCGCCAAAAGAAGTGTCTGTACAGGTGCGGGTTTGTTTTTGGAATGGTTCAGAGCCACGCTCTTGACAAGTAGCAGAACATGGTCCCCAATTTGTCCAAACACTTAAATGTCCTAAAGAATAAGTTTAATAAAGTTTTCAAAACCCATACAAGTAGTGTGATTTGTAAAATTGTTGTCAAAATTATGTTATTTACACATCGAAATATAATTCAACCAACCACTCCAAAATAAGCATGCATTATTCACTTCATACCTCATGAAAAAAGCACACTACCAATCATATCAGAAAAAGCATAAACTATTCACATTGTGACATTAAAATAAACATACATTTTTCATATTATTTTGTTAAGATAAAACATACATTATCTTTACATATTATTGCCGAACTTAATAGTGTTAGTAGTGTTATTGCTCATTTGAGCGTGTTTGACACGGAATTCTTGGAAGCCATTGCAACCGAGATTGTGGCGAGAAAAAGTGGCAGCACTTTTTTTTTATAGGAAAGTGTGAGCGAGCGTGTATGCAATTTTTAACGAACTGAAACTTTAAAGTATAAAAATTTAAAACATAATGAAACATTTATAACATTTTACAGTTTGATTTTTACATAAAAATTGCAATACTTCAAGGTCACTATACTTTTGATCTATTAAATTATTTTCCGTTAAAAAAATAATTATTATATAGTTTAAAAAATTTCGTCCAACAATTCGCTTGACCGAAGCCGTGGTTTAAGTCTTTTTTTTTTTAACTTTTTCCAAGTTTTTTAACTTTTTCAAATTTTTTTTTAAATATAAAATACTTTTAAAGTTTTATAAAGATAGTATAAAAACATACTTTAACAAACAAATTTTTTAAAAGGTAAAGTTTCTAAATACAACAGGAGAAAAAATTTGATGCGCAAGTGTCATGATTAAGATACTTATGTCAAATAAGGAATCCCAGTTTAGCTGCGGATGGTCTGAAAAAAAAGGTGTCTGAAACTTAATAAAGAAAAACATATTAATGTAGTCCTGCTAATCTAGAAAGTGCTGCTGTAAAGTTAAAAAAAATGCCTGTAACTAGCAAAAAAGTTGAAAATTTCTTTTAAAAATTTACCCGTTAACAGTCCATGTTGTAATATTACGCATAACTTAAAGTGGTTTTTAAACGTCTATGCCATAATACTATGCAAACTAAATGTGGTTTCTAAATGTCCATGTCACAATACAGTAGTTCTACGTCTACTTGTCACAAAAGTTGTTACTGTTTATTTAAACGTGTTCAATTTAATTTTAATCATGAAAAATAAGGAAGTTCTTCCAGTGCAAAAATAACAATTAAAAAGTTAAAACTTACTCACAAAAATATATATTTTTATACATTTGATGAATCAATAATTTCGGAAACCTAGTTTACACTGTTATCACGATTTGTATTTATATATTTGTAAAGTAATTTTAAAGTTTATTGTATTGTAAAACGACTAACTTTAAAAAAAAAAAAAAAAATGATAATAATGAAAAGATATATTTAATGAATGATTATTGAAAATGACAATAAAAGATTAATGCTCAAAGATGGCGTACGGTATGTTTGAAAAATAATATTCAAAAAGGTTCAGGATGTGAATGTGTAGGATGTGTCGTATACTTTTTGCAGCTCCATGTTTTTTACAATTATTATACGGAAAGTGACTATTAGTGAAAAGGTTATTAAAAGGTTTTTTATGTAGTATGATTTAAATATTCTTTAACCTGAATAGGGGAAAGGCGTCTATGATAGCATAGCACCTATGACGGCATACCGGTCATATTTTGATAAATATTGCTTATAGCGAAAAAAAGATTAGACAAACATATCTATACTGATTTTAGATTGCTTTAGTAAAAATACGTCCCTTATGCACAAATATTGCTTTTATAATCAACAAAAATTGACTTCGGAATGTGTTCTTGTATTGTTAATCCCTAAATATTTAAGGTTTTAGTTTATTTTTATATAATTATTTTAATATTCAAGATTGTAGTTTTATTATTAGCTGTGCAGAAATGAAATTTTCATTCATTTTATTTCTAAGTTATGTGCATTTAGTGGAATACTTTAATTTTATCTTTTAAACAAAGCAGACATAACTTGTTTAAATAAAAATGATGACTTCTTCTTATGATGGCATACTGAGGAGTTAGTTGTGTTAGGAGTTAGTTGTGCAACATTGACGAGTTGAGAAAATTTTTTTTTCCATAAAAACAACATATTTTTTAGTGAAGCCAAAAGAAATTTTTACTTTACTAAAACTTTTTTGGTTCAAAAACACTTGAAACGCAATATCTCTATGCGCATGCGCGACATTCTACATTGTTGTCGAAAGGGTTAATTATAATGATTACGCTTAATTTCTGGTATTTCTTAGGGAAGATTCTAAGGTCAAATGATATTGTCAAGTTACCTTTAATGCTAACGAGGTCCATTATCTCATATGCCATCATATGAGCAGTTGTTGCGTATGAATGCATTTTTTTTTTTCCAAATAAAAATAACTAATAAAAATATAAAACTGCTAAAAACTCCAGAGGTTTTATTGTTCTACATGTAATAAAGAATGTTTCCATATGAAAACTTTTGTTCTTGGTACTGATTAATACTGATTAATGATGCTTCAAAGTTAAGTATGCCATCAAAAGTACCTTTACCCTGATAACATTTTGTATTGTTTCATAATGTTAAAAATAGTAAAAATGATTTTTTTTATTAGTTAAAAAACACTATAACTTTAAACATACAGGACATTGAGATACCATTCCACAAAAAAAAGCTGACTCAAAACAACAACAAAAAAAAGGCAAAAAACCCCTCACCACTTTTTTATTTATTGTGGCACAAAAGTGCCCTTTGTTAGATAATATTAAATGGCAATGATTTTTTATTTTAAAAGTAAAAATGATTTTTTCACAAAGCTTTTATTTTGTATTTTATAGGTAAAATAAGTGAAAAAATTTGATATTATTTTTAAAGAAACTTGAAAAAGGTGAGGTTTTTATTTAACCAAATTAGAGAACTTGAAATGTAAATAAAAGTGTATATTTATTTTTAAAATAATTTTTTGACTGATTTTGACTAAACGAAAAAATCTGATTTTTTCGTTTAAATTTAAAGACTTCTCTAAAAAAAAGGAGAAAATAATTGTTTTTTTTTTCTTTATATATCAGCTAAAAAAATGTTCCACCGAGTTCCACAAATATATATATATTTTCCAGTTAATTAACATTTCTACTTTAGGTATATAAAAGAATTACTTCGGTCTCCTATTAAAGAAAAACAAATGTTGATGATTTCATAAAAACCTTGTTTTCCACTATTTTACTAAATTTTACTATATTTTACTAACACATACACCACAGGTCATTTAAAAGTTTGAACCCTTCTTCATTCATATACAAGATGTCAGAAAGGATGGATGACTGGAACCCACCTGAATCATGGAAGAGAATAACTTGCATCATGATGATTCGTGCCGGCCATCAAAATAAGGGTATTATGACTGCTGCCCAATGCTCCCTGAACACAGTAAAAACAATCAGGTATGAACTAGAGACTTGCAATGGTGACTAGGAGGATGTAGTAAGAAGAAAGATCCCTAGCAGACGATCTGATTGCGTTCGTACAGCAGAATTCCTCGCAAGTCTGCAGGAACAAGTTTTGAAGAACCCTGGCATTGGAATTCGGGCTTTGTCACGTGAAATGAATGTTGCATCCTCTACTATGAAGCTTGCACTCAATGAAGACCTTCGCTACTACTCATACAAGCGCCACAGAGGTCAGCTACTCACAGAAAAGGCCCGTGTATATATATATATATATATATATATATATATATATATATATATATATATATATATATATATATATATATATATATATATATATAACAAAAAAGCTTTATAAGCTTACACTTAATACGTTTGTACGTAACGCTATACAAATGGAACTAAGAATATTAAAATTGAAAAGAATATTAAAATTGAAATTAAAACATAGTCATAGAGAAAAGTTCATTCTTAGTATAATGATTAAAAACTAAAGAAAAATGCTAATCTAAAAGTTAAGCCAAAAAAAGTTTGCGCAATGACGTCAGTGTGTGGAAAAATAAACCTATATGCGTCAAGTTTGCTTTTGCATTTATTTTACATTTTTTGATTATTTTTAATTATTTTGCATATTATTTTGAATACAATTTGCACAAAATAGATATAAAACTGCTAAAGATATATCACTTTACGGATGTAAAAGATTATATTTATTACATAAACAGTTGTTGTATTTATTAGGATATATTCCATATATCTTTATTAGTTTTCTTGAAAAAATTATATAAAATCTTAATTCTTGTTTGTTTTTCTAGTTTTTTTGACATACGCGTCACATACGCGTAAAAAAAGTGTGGCATGTGTGATTTATAGCGTCTGTCGCTAAAAAGCAGATGACGTAATTTTAGCAGTCAGAATTTATCAAAAGGGGAGCAAATCTAATATTAAAGTTTCAAGTTTTCCATTTCGATGTCAATTGGTTTTGCGTTTTTTTAATCTTGTAAATGTTTTTTAAAAATAATAACATACTTAAAAAACATTGAAACAAAACAGCCTGACCTGTAATTATTAGAAAAATTTACTTATATTAAATACGATGCTGAATAAAACGTTATTTAAGTGGCATTTTTGCATTTTATGAACAATATATATATATATATATATATATATATATATATATATATATATATATATATATATATATATATATATATATATATATATATATATATATATATATATATATATATATATATATATATATATATATATATATATATACAAATAACATATTTGTGTATATAACGTTGTTTAAAAAGGAATAGATAAACGCAACAAAGTTTAAAAAAATAATTTATAATAAAAAGTGTTTTATATGTTTCTTTGCAAACACCAATATACTACACTTAAAACTTTTAAGACTAAACTGCAATTATTTTTGATTTTTTTGGTTTAATAGCTTTTGTTAAAGACTTTTAAATTTTACGTCAAATAATTTCAACATGTTCTTTGAATGATCCTAACCGCAGCTGTTTATCAAAACGTCTTTAGGTAAAAAAAAAAAAAAAATCGATTTTAACTTTTTTACAAATTAAGTTTGTTTAGATGTCTAAAACATTATTGAATACATAATTTCAAACGGTTCTGGAAATATTCATAAAATTTATTCGTTTTAAAATATGTTTTGCAAAGAGTTTCTCTGAACAGTTTTTTTTATTTAAGTTTTTCTCGAAATACGTAATAAGCATATTAATGCGTTTTAAAAAGGGCTGCAGCATATTCTGACAGTAAAAAAATATAAGTCCCAAATGAAACTCTTAAACTTTCAACATTCCCGTGTTACCGTCATTCCATTATTAAAACGGACGCACAGTGACTCAGGACAATAAAAAAACGGCATATATATATATATATATATATATATATATATATATATATATATATATATATATATATATATATATATATATATATATATATATATATATATATATATATATATATACATATATATATATAAAATTTAAACTGTTTTTAAATAAAAAGTTATATGATGAATAAAAAAACAATTTTTATACCTGGACAAGGAACGCTTTCCTTACAATTACGATATTCAATCAATGGTTCATCGTTACAATCATTTAAAGAATCGGGTGAACAACTGCGTGTCCTAGTTTCTTTTGGTATCATATCCAGTTGACAAGTAGAGGAGCATTTTCCCCATTCTGACCAGTTACTTAAATCTAAAGCAAGAATACTTAATTGATATTTGAAAACCTTAACAGATTTCTTGAATTTTAAAGTTAAAATCAAAATAAAACTATACCAGTCATTCCTAGTTAACATTATTCAGACATAATGATAATTTTATTATTGTCACATCAAGATAAAAAAACATTATTTAATTTCTTTTTATTAAAACAACAATAAGACACAAAATTGTATTAAAAAAGCAAATAAGGACTCTTTAGATATGATGCACTAAAGACAAGCGAAGAACCTGAAATCAAAAATAATCTTTAGAGATGGTTGCAGAAAAAAAATTTCCATTGATATAAACACACACACAAATACAAAATCATTATTAATCTAGCAGAACCTATTATTTTCATATCAGTCTACTTTAGGCCTTTGCAAAAAGTCTACAATTTCATTATATAGATGCAAATATTAAATAAGTAAAAAAAAAAAAGAATGTTTTTAATTATTACTTTCAAACTACAGTAAGACTGGATACATAAAAAAATATTTATGACTTCTTTTAGAAATAATAATAAAAACCTGTTTGTTTAAAGTTTATCTTTAACACAAACTAAACCATACATTTGAGTTTTTACTTCTCGAAAATCTCTGCTTCATTATAACATTATCGTGAAGAGAGTTCTGTTCCAAAATTTATAAAACTTGAATATTGTGGAGTTTACTTTTTTAGCAAATCCTAGAAGTTTTTGTCATTTTTACTTTTTGATTTCAATTATTACTATAGTGACATATTTTGTTGTCTTTTTTTTAGTTTATCTACTGTGTTAGTTCATCTGTAGTTAATTGTAAATGTATGTTTATAACAGCGCTAAAACTCAATTTAATGGTTCTGATGTAAAAATTAAAAATATCTTTAATGCACATTTGTGGTCTTCAAAATATCTTCCTATTAGTTGAATCTAGTAAAAAATTACTTAATCTGATTTCTCTTTGTGAGAATAATTTAAATTCAACTAATCTTTCTTCAGATCTAATAACTGATTTTTTCCAAACCTCAGCTGTTAGAGACTTTGTCAACTTGAATAGAAAAATATATTATATAATTCCCGATTTGTCAATTGAGATCTTATTTTGCAGACTAATTGTATAAAAAAGTATTGATAAATTTTATACCACACTCCTCCTAATCGAGCCGGCCATATATATATATATATATATATATATATATATATATATATATATATATATATATATATATATATATATATATATATATATATATATATATATATATATATATATATATATATATATATATATATATATGCTTGCTACAATTTTATATTTGTAAACCAGAACAATCATGTAGGGGCTGGGGAAATGGGTGTAAAAACAGGTTTTTTGGTGAGCTGGGGGGAGAGGGTGTTGGAAAAAAGGTGAAATAATGACCAGAGCTAATAAGATGGGGGGGGGGGGGGGAGTAGTATTTATTTTATGCTTCCAAAAACATGACACGCATTAAGTACGTTTCAAGTCTTAATATAAACAAGCAGGAGCTTTATTGCCTCATTGCTCAGGGACTCATGTGATCTCTAGCAAAGAAACAGCACTAAATATATTTTCTTATTTGTTGTCTAACAAAAGATATTTGAAAAAAATAATATTCACTTTTATTTTACTTGTTATACTTTTCAGTAGAATGTAGTGTTTTAAGCAGGATTCAGTTTTTTTTTAACTTTCTAATAAAAAAAGTGAGCATGTTATGCCAAAGTTCAATATGCAGCACAGTAATGCACCTATCATGGTTTTTTAAAAAAAGCCTTCGTTTTCTGACCGAATGTTTCTCATGATTGAAATAAAATATTTAACGACTGCCGGCAACAGAGAAAGAAATCTAGTACAACTAAATTAAAAAATTCTTTTAAATCACTTACTTGAAATGTATGGATATAAAAAAGCATATACATTTTTAAATCAGAAAAAAGTGCGATAATGATTAATCTTTGAAATTAGTATTGAACTACAGTCAGATATTTCAAAGCTCAAATTGTGCATTGCTGTGTGAAATGCAAATGAAGCCTTCTTTGATTCAATAGTTAAATCACATTCATTCATTACTTTTTAAAAAATAATCCATCAGTAAATAAAGAACATGCGGTAGCCGAAACTTTATCTTTGTGTTTAAAATACTTTAAACAACTTTTATTCGTCTACAATGTGTAACAAACATTTTTTCTAAACAATGCTAACATTAAACAATGTTAGCATTGTTTAGAAAAATTGTAAAACAATGTAACAAAGAACTAAAAGTAACATTAAATTTAGCACTGGAAAATGTCTGGGAAAGTGTCTAGCAGCGGGAAATGGCTGCTATGCATAGACCATGCATTAAAGGGCAAGCAATTCTTGGAATAGCCCATGCTTGTTTGCCAATCATGGGCCAGTCATGGCATCAATAATTAGCTATGCATGGGCAAAGCAAGGAAAGGTTTTTGGAAATAAAAAAGAAATAAAAACGATTTTTAAATTATTTTTGTAACGTCGTTGTGATAATTTTATATCACGTTTAAATTAATTTACATTTGTATAAAAAAAATAAAAAAAGATTTAAAAAGCAACAAACCCTGAGTTGAACTTTTTTGAAGCTGAAATGTCAAACATAAAATGAAAATTTTCCAAATCATTTTATCAAAACAATATTTATAGAAACTAACTACAGTACTATTGAAACGTATGAGTAAATGAACCAATGTCTGATGTATTTATAAGGAAATGTAAAGACTACATAATTGGATAATGTTCAAACCAGTTGTATCTAGTTATACGACAACCCCATCATAATTTTGGATTACTTATATTTAATAGAATAGATATAAAGATGGAATATAAAAACAATTTAGACGATAATTAACACTTTTTAATCTTTTTAGTAAATTGAATAAATATAATATTGTAAAATATTTTAATTTTCTATTTTTCTATTGATTAGTTTCCACGAATCAAAATGTAATGACGCAAATGGATCGAATGTGTTTGCAATTTGATTGAAAATTTTTATAATAGGATTATAATCGATTTCATAAGTTAAATTGTATAGAGAACATTTCTATAAAATTTATGTTTCTCAACGAGTTGGTAGTAACAATATTACCGAATAAAAATGCAGCAGAAAAGGAAATTGGACTGTTAGCAAAAGATGCGCTTTATAACGAACAAAATTGTCGTTCAAAATATTGTTAGTTCTTTACATAATTATTATTAAAAAGTTAAAGTGGTTTTTTATAAAATCTTAATTTAATTACTTCTTTTAACTTAACAAATATCATATAATTTAAAAGTCGCCAAAACCGCTTTAAAATGCGTAAAACAGCTCAACACGTACATAAAGTGCACACTGCTTAATGTGGTATAACAAGGCTTGATATTAATATATTTATATCGGGTTTTGTTAAACAGACAGTTGTAAAAAGAGTATACTTTTTTTTTTAAAAAAACGCGTTTTTTACGAAAAAGTTCATAAAAAAGCTGCCGAAAATTAAACTACCTGTTCTTCTACGGAAAAAACCATAGCATGTAAATCGAAATCCGTTAAAAAACGATTTTTTTCTGTTAAAATACAATGCGTTTTCTCCGTTAAACAACGGGAGGTTTGTTCATTGCTGCTGCCGGAACTTTTCAGTAAATGAACGGATACATCCGTTTAAATTAAACAAGTTAACAACGAAAAAGCAACTCAGCTGCCGGATAAGTTTCCGTAAATAAAAGTACTTTTGCAGTTTATATTTTCTTCATCTGAAAATTTAAATAAATTATTTTTAGCAAATATTATATTAATAAAACCAATGGCATGTTTTTGAAAATATTTTCTTAAAACAAATTTTTTTTGATTTACATAAAAAATATTAAATTTTCTGTGAATTATATTTCACTTAAACAGCAAATACATGACTAAATAATAAACTGGTAAAATAATAAACACTTTCAAAAAATATTACTAATATTGATAAAGTATATGCTCATAATAATATAAGTATATTACATATCCCTATATAGATTTACAATTTATATATACTTAAAAACTTATCTTTAAATAATATATACATAAATATAAGTAAATCAAAATCAATTAATAATAAATAAACATAAATATAAGTAAATCAAAATCAATTCATATACAAAAAAATACAGGGTTTCCTTTCTGTTCTATTTTGAGTCAACTCTAAATCTAAAACAAAAACAAAAAAAAATTCTTTGAGTAAGGAAAGAATTTAATATTTAACAAAATAATAAATTATAAAAAAAAAACTCATTTTGTCCAATTTACCTTAAAGTTGTTACTCAATATGAGTGATTTTTTTTTTTTTTTTTTTAAGTTGATTAAGGTGCTCCAAGAAGTCCTTACAGTCTTAGCACAGAGCACCACGGAAGAGCATTTAATGGGAAGTTCACGCCTCCTTCCCAACCGATGTCGCAAAACTTGCCCAGAGGTGGGGTTTGAACCTCGGATCGTACGTTTGTGAGGCAAGTACGCTACCACTGCGCCACGGCTGCTTTATTGATTTAACTAAAGCCAAGCAACAAACAACTCTGGATAAAAGAAAAAACTCTTTTGAGCAAGAAATAAATACCTACATGAACTTAAAACTTAAATTGAAGTATGATGCCTATTGAGGATTTAAAGTATATTGTAACCAGTAATCTCAGTTTGTAACTTTAGTTTGTTTGTCGTTGTAATGGTGATAACCGAATTTTCTTTTTATGCCTTCGTTGTCGCCATATGCCATTACTCCCAAATTTAAAATCAGATTTTTTTATTTCATTAAATAAATAAAAATCTTTACAACTTCTGTAAAATCAAATTAAAATAATTAATTACTAAATATACTTACAAAATAACTCAACTATTGAACAATAAAACCCATGTTTTCTTTTGAGTTCTATAAAGAAAACTTAATCATATTATTATTTCTATCTTTTTTATTTCAAAATTCAAATTTAGATATTATTGATAAAGCAACATACTTAAGTCAATCCTTTAGCAAGCTAAATTAAATTATAAAACATAAATATAATATAAAAGAAAATTAATTATTTATAAATGAAATAATTTTTACTTATCTAGTTCATTGTCATCTCTATAATAATAAATATGAAATCAATGAAATAGTTTTTACCATTTTATAAAAAGCTAATTTTTTTTGTTCATGCTTAAGTTAAAAATTGTTAAAAACTAAAGTACAATAACTATCTTGAATCCCTCCTTTTTTTTATTTGCAGAATATCTACTTTATTAAAATATAATAAAATATATTTAAAAAGGATAAAACAGTTTTATAATTTGAAAAAAAATATTTTTATTATCTTCTTATTCTAAATATAAATAATGAACGTTAAAATGAATTATAATACTTATTTAAATATAAACAATTTTGAAAACAAAAATGATATAAATATTTTATAATAAAATATATATAAACAGTCATGTGACATAGAAATGGAAACATATTTAAAAAACAATTTTTTTTTTCTTAAAGTTTCAATATGATGATGAATATTTGTTATCATAAATAAGTTTACAAGCTTACCCTGGACATCAATGCTTAATTTATAAGATCTTGAAGGATGTTCCTGCATAAATTTTTTTTATTATTGAATAAACCCTCTAACCTGTAACATGATGGATTTCGGAAAATTTGTCTTTCTATTTAAGGGTACTCTCGGTGCTTTTTGGTATTTATTTACGAAATATATATGGATTTTTAAACACAATCAGTAAGGTAGAAACTAATTGAAATTTGCTATCTCATAAAATAGTTTTACATCAGTTGTTATGATTTTTGTTCAGTTCATCTTAATAAATCCGTAAAGTTTTTTTAATTTTTTAAACCTTCTCTCAATTGCTCAAGGTAATAATGTGTGTACACTTCTTTTCAAAACTTTTTTAAAATTAGATATTTTATCAATGAAACATTTTATTGACTCTCTTGATATCTAAAACTTTCTAAATAACTCAGAAATAATTGGTGATTCGTCTTTTATAAAATTTATATAAGTTTTTTAGCTATAAAAATTTGATATAAATTTAGCTTCAATGGTTGATATTAACGTTCAGCTTTTTTGTCATTTAAATCATCTTTTCTTTTTAATTGACGCCACGTTATTTTCATACTCTACTAACGGTGGTTGTTGAAACTTTAATTGATTCCTTTCCTATTAAATTTCTTAGTCATTCTATAGAACCCTGGATATTGTTTTCAGTTAAAAAAGTTTAATTTTAACTGAAATTCGTACGACTTACTTAAAGGACATCAGTAAACCACTTTTACCATTATTTTTTCAAAGTAAAAATATTTTTCAAAAACCTGGCTTTTTGGTTACAAATCAAATTATTTTAGTTTAATTTGTAAGCAAGGAGCCTAATTTTAACATTTTTGCAACTTGAATCTTTAGCAACTTGGATATTTGTATATATTCGAATATCAAAGCTGTACTAACAACAAAATACGTCCTTCATCATTTTTTTAAATTTTTGTTTTGTAAAAATGCTTTGTTTACATAAATTTTAACTGCATATATATATATATATATATATATATATATATATATATATATATATATATATATATATATATATATATAATATATATATATAATATATATATATATATATATATATATATATATATATATATATATATATATACATACATATATATATATATATATATATATATATATATATATATATATATATATATATACATATATATATATATATATATATATATATATATATATATATATATATATATATATATATATATATATATATATATTTATTAAACGCCCGTGGGCTACCCTAAAACAATGAAAAAAATAAATAAAATCATCAGTAAACTCAGAATGAGTAATAGAAACAAATAAAAATGCACTCTTAAAGAAATTTTTTATGTAAAAAGTCTGAATGAACCTGAAAAAATTAGGAAAACCGAATATTTGGCTTTTTCAAGCTTTTTTTTTAAGTTTTTTATGACGACATTTTAATCTTTTTTTACAGGTAAACCATCAAAGGTTTTAGATATCATACCACAATATTGCATTTTATATATAAATTTGAGAAAGTATTAAAATTTTTTTTTTTTTGTTGATCATGATACAGTTTTGTTGACTAAATAGTCAAATAATGCTGGAAGTAGCATTTGCTGCGAGATCGTTCTTCTTGGATCCTTGTTTACTTTTCTTGTAGACATGGTTAAAAAAGAACATATCTTATCTCTTCTCCTCCTTATTGGATTTCATAATAAGTTCCTGAACTAAGTTGATAGCTCTCTCAGAAGAATCATTGACTACATCTAGAGATTTGATAGTAGTCTCAAACTCTAGATAAAAATCATTTAACTCCCAGAATTGTGAAGGGGTTTTAAGCTAATGCAACTCCCCCTTCCCATGGCCAATCTTATCAAAGATCAGCCAAGATTGGTTTGTAATAAGAGATGCTAGGGATGGAGGCTGGTTATGGGAGTAGTTTAGTGAGTGAATAACTTTCTTATCTACTTCAATACGCTCCAGTTTGAAGACATTGGGTCTGTCCAAATGAGTATTAAAGAGTTTCTGAGCTAACTCCTCTCTATCAGAGTAATTCTTATCAGCTAAAGCAAACACAACTAGAACTGGACATAAGTACCAGTCACGTCTTGACATTGATCGAACTACTTCAGGAGCTCCAGGAAGATTTATTTCCATAAACCTCTTAATTTGCCAGAGGGCTTTTATGTCCAATCAAAAATATAAAGTAAATAATATTCAATTGTTATTGTTTACATGTTGTCATTTT